GTAAAACAACTACTTAAATTTAAAACAAACTATGTGGACATCACAGACACACACAAATACTATGGCTTACCTAAACATTTTCTTTCCTCTTTTGAGCTATCTGGACACACAAATATAATTTTTCTTTCCCTCCTTTTGTGACCTATGTTGTTCTCTCTCTCTCTTTCTCTCTCTCACACACACACACACACACACACACACACACACACACACACACACACACACACACAAACTATGGCTAATTACCTAAATGTTTTCTTTCATTTTTCTGAGTTATCTGGACACGCAAAAATATTTTTTTTCTTTCTCATCTTTTGTGAGTTATGTTGTTCTTTATGAAAAATATATAAAAATGCTCCACATGTGTTGAATTTACTTGTTTTTTAAAGTCTTCTTCTTCCTCAACAACAAGCTGTAACTCCTCTCCCTACAGCTTAAAGAGACTTTGTCAAAGATATTGCATGCAGAGTGATGTAGATTAGCATGTAAATCTCATGGCTCTTGGTCAGGCTGAGGACTTTTCAGTAAAGTGTCCATGTGTCTTTGTCAAGCTGATTAAAAACATGTTACTTCACTGAAATTCCTAGATTGTGTTACATAATAGAATGTAATTGTTTATTTAAATACAACCATTCAGTATCTGGTAAATTTTCTGGTCACAAACACACTAATTAATCTCTTTTCACTTCTGATTAACTAAATGATTTTTTTTTTGTCAAAACCCTGAGATACTAAGAAACCATCAAAAAGTACTGCAAATAGTAGCATATTAGACTCCTCTGTAGCAACTTGCCTGTCCTTTGGGAATAAGAAACAGGTAACCCTTTCTTTAGGTTAGGCAAGAACCAACACAGAGCTTAGTTAATATAGTGAAGAAAATGATGCATTACCTCGTCAAACCAAGCAACAGCATGTCACATGTATCCTACAATGGAAAATGTGGTGAAAAAAAGAAAAGGGTACGTATTCTGCATGAAATGCTGAATACGAAATATTCATATTACAAACAAGTCATTTGCAGAAGTCGCCATAAAAGTATTTTGGATATGCTAATATTGTGTGTCCTCTCCCAGTTGTTGACGAATAAAAAATATGCTCAGTTGATAAAAGCAGTTTGTGTTTTTGAATCATGGATGAAAGACAAAATTTATGTATTTTGGCTACTGTGTTCATTAGTGAGTGAGTTATTTTTCTGACTGTTACATGTATTATGATTTGTGACAGTAGTACCTGCGAATCGAGATTTTGACATTTCTTTATGCCACTGATATTCGAGTCTGAACTTACAGTGATTTGTTCTCTTCATTGTGGAAGTAATATGTAACAAATATTTTCCTTTGCAATCCAAGAACTCTTACAGTTGATTTCTAAATATTTCTACAGTCATATTCTGTTTGATAGTACTTTTGCATAACCAGCAAGAAATTTGAGGGAGGGTGTTGCATCACGAGCACTTCTTGGGAGTCATGTTTTTACAAATAACACTTTTGCTCTTGAATCCCTGATACTGCAGCATGGTGAGCAATTGACGATCACTGCAATAATCAGTTAAAACTCTGGTGGACTTCAAACGTTAAAATGTTTTTTTGTTATACAATATTTTATCAAATCCTACATACCACCCAAGGAATTCAATTCTGTTCTGAGCACCTTCAACAAAAAAAAATTTTCAAAATGGATGCAATCCTCTGCACGTTAAATTAATTAGGGGCCAAACAGAATTAATAATTTTATGAAATTCTACACTCCCAACTCTCACCTCTGTTTATTATTGTCCCCATCTTTGTTGTTGCAATCACAATGTTTGAGTCATTGTACCCTCTGGCTTTCATCAGGTGATTGCCAATTCAAGTAACCTTCAGTTGCTTAATATAAGTGGATGGAATTTTTTTTTTTTTAAATTTTGAGGAAATTTTCCAAACTCCTCCCCCACCTGAGTTTATTAAGAATTCCTCAGTTTATTAATTTCTCACTTTTCCCCAGAGCTCCACCAGGAAACACAAATTATTGACATTGGTTCAAGTTTTTAGTTGCATTGATTTAAAAAATAGTGTTTCATTGTGCCATCTTTTTTTATTCTTTTCTGAATTACCATTTTTAATTTTTTGATAAAATTAATGTTTAAATAAAATTATTTTTGTAGTGCAAACTTCTTTGCATCCTAATTAAGTTGTACCAGATCTTTTTTGAATGGTACTATCTTATGCACGGTAGAGTAATGGATAGCGGCTCGGATTGAGAAATCAGAGAGCTGAGTTCGAATTCCAGTCGTATCCATTACATTCACTTATGTGCTAATACCTTTGGGAAAGATACGAATCCTCTTCTTCTCCCTCCAGCTATGGGTAAATAGCAGGACAGACTGGGTTCTATAGCCTTGGATGGCAACTAGTCTACCACAGAAAGAAATGGCAATCTACTGCTGGAAAAAAATCTGCCTCATCAGTCATGTATCAAAATATACATGATCGCTTAAGCATGTATCATGCATGGCACATACCTATCTTACCAGAGAATGCAAGAAGTCCAAGGTATGAGGTTGAGTGGTACAGTAGTTGTTGCAAAAAAAAAAAAAAAATTTCTTAACTTAAATTTTTAATTTTTTAAAAATTATTTTTTCAATCTCCACTTTTATTAAGACTTTGTTTATTTAGAAATATTACATATTTATTACTCAATGCATATTTTAGAAAAATTACAATTACCCCAATTATTAAAATCCCCCTCCCCTTCTATTAGACACCTTGTTACATGATATTGGCTGCTAAGTTAACTTCAGAGATCAAGCCTGTGTGTTGGTGTAGCAGGTTATGCAATGCTAGCCAAATATATGTGCTGACTGTTGTACGTCTGGTATATTTATTTATATTATTTATGTCTTATTTATCTTCTACTGAACCTTTAATTTTATTTTACTAATTTTGACTTAATGCAAGCACAAGAGCCACTCAAAGCAGAGGGTTAATATGGTTTTGTATGAGCATAATTAAAGGCAAGAAGGGCAGTACATAGGGTTATGCAGAATAGATAATGGTTAAACCCACACTAAAAGAGGTCAAGATTGTAATAATCCTGCTGAGAGTTTGTTCCACAAAGCAGTGGTTCCTGAGCAGAGCCATCCGAGTAGAACTTAATTATTAATGTGGCAAGATAAGACCCTTCTATAGAAGGATTTTACAAATAACTAGTAGATGCATCATACTTGTGAACAAATTGTATTGGTTTCAATCCCAATAGGAATAACTGCAAAATAATTTCTCCTTCTCATTTTATTGGCAGAAACACACAAACACATGTTGGGATTTCTTCCTAGCCAATAAAATAGGCTGGTTCTTGGTTTCATCTGACTCAGCTCCGATCTGTCTTCTCTTGAAGTGAAAGCGCTATGTTCACTTGTCTGGACTTGCTTTTATGTACCAACACCAATTTTTAGTTTGTCAACTTTCTGCCTTATTACTGTTGCTTTGCCTTATTACTGTTAATTTGCCTTGCATATTTTTGTGACATACGGTGGCCATTAATAATTAACTCAAGACTTCAATGTTAACATAAAGCCATATTTAATTACAACCGCAAATAAATACTTAACAAAAGCAAAGAAGTAAAAGTCAACTAAAGATAACTAACCATTTCAGGGAATACTTTGTTAGTAGCATGGCTTGGCTTAACATCTGGTAAATCCTAAATCAAAACCCAAATCATTAATGCACAATAATTCACACTAATTCAACTGGATAATTCCACTCAATAGTCACTCCAGTCAGTAGCCTGACACCACTATTTATACACCTGGCAGAAAACATATATTCATAAGTCCAGAGTGTCATGCTAGAAACTTGGTGTCGGGAGCTACTCATTTTCTTCCTATATGACATATTATTTCCTTGCTTTATATATTTTTTTGCCTTGTTCTTTTTTCTTGTTATTGCAAACTTTGTCAATGGTTTGTTGGACAGTTCTGTTACTTATTTTACATTTGACCATGTCTACTCACTCCACAAGTTGAAAAAAATAACAGGTGAATTTTTTTTCACCTACTTAGAAGGAATTTAGGAGAATTGGTACGTTATAGCTGAACATTTAAATCAATTTGGGATCACAAATTGTAATGACATTGTTCAAATTTTTAACAATCTCAACATAAATGAATTCAACATATACATAGATTTTATATATTTATTTACAGAAGCTATAGTTCTGTGGAGAACTTTGAACCTTCAATCTAACCTGCCTGCTAATGAGTACTGCTGCAGCTTGTCATGTTTGCCTGTATTCACTGAAGCTTTTTCTCTTTTGTTACAGCTGCTGTCATTTGTCTTTTTTTTCTTTATTAGTGTCTCCCTTTTGACTTTTGCCTCTCTCCTCTTCTTTTGACAAGTGATAAGGAAAGAAAACCAATTCTTTAAATATGCCTTTGTTTTCAGAACACCTTAATTTTTATCTTGTTTGACTTTTCGTACCAGGTTTTGGTCAGCAGATAATTCTATAGCCTGGATTTTAAAAACAATAGTGTCTCCATTTCAGTTGTCAACTTCAGCCATAAGGTTTTTTTGTAGGAAAAATCATGTTTATTTGCTTTTATCCAGGGAAGATAAAAAAAAACAAACCCACTGCATTTACTAAAATCTGGTCTCAACCTTTAAAGTCTCACACCTCTCTTGGTATAGCCATCAAGCTATCCTTTCAACCCTTAAAGTGTCACAATAAGAGATAAAGTTTTTTTATATAATTGATTCATTTTTTATGCTTTATCAACCCTTTACAAATTATTTAAAGCCAGAAAATATTTTTAAATTGTAAGAATTTTTTTAAGATAATAATGATTTAGTGATACAAGTCTTACTAATTAACCCATAGCTGGGGAGAGAAGAGGTGGATTCATACATTTTCTGAAGGGTATTTGCACATAATTGAATATAATGAACCAAAATGGAATTGGAACTCAGTTCCTCAATTAACAATTCCGAGCAATTATCCATTACACCACCCGCACATCCAAGCTTACAGTACCTGGTCTTTCCAAGCAGTCACCCATCTAGGTCCTGACCAGGCCTGATATTGCTTAACTTCGGTGATCATATGGAAACTGGAACAAAAAGTAACAAAAGAGTTTTTTAAAAAAAAAAAAAAAAAAAAAAAAAACAAACCACATAATTATAAGATTTTATTGAAATTTTCAGAAATTATTTGGTAATATTTTTCAAAAATTTTGTGGAAATATTTTAGCTCTATCATTGAATTAAAATTTAACATGTGTACACATAAATATGCATACGTATACAATTTGAATGAAATTGAAATGTACATCATGAAGGTTCATTTACCCTTGTGTCTGGTAACAAACCTTGGGTAACAGGAAAGGAGTATAGGTTAAAATGTGCTGCCTTTTGTATTCATTTTTATGACTTTCTGTATTTAAATTGAACACATTCTCTAATAAATGTTTTATTAGAAATGGACAATTTAGATTTAAAATTAGATCATCTTATCAGCAAAATGATACCAAACCAGTACTAATAATAATGAATAGTATATTTCATATTAGTATATTTTGAGGGTAAGCCTGATTAAGTTTGACAATGAATATAATTTAACAGCTAATTACTGCTTCTGTTGCTTAGGCAGTAAGGTAGTCATTTCTTACATAAATAATGTATGTTTATATACATACATTATATATGTTTCGGAGGTTGTCATAGGTTGGAGTGATAGTAAAACACGGAGTAGAGCCCTAAAAACTGTTGGATGTCAATACTGACAACTCCTGCAACCAAGCCGTCCCCAAATATAATGCCCTGTATATGTTTGGATCTTGTCAGTATGGCTGAGAGGGTGATGGTGCATATACTCTGGACTATATATACTATGCCCAGGCCTATGCCCTGGCATGGTCACTTCAGTCTGACATCCAAAGGATAGAATTTTGACCAAACAGGGCATTACCTTTAACTCATGAGATAAACAGATGCCTACTACTAAGGTATTCATGGGAGAGTGGTTTGCTCAAATACTTTCTTCCATTCACTTTTTCCGTTAACCATACTGGCATACCAGAAACAAGGTTTTAGTCTAGCAATGTGTTTGAGTTCAGGGAAATATGGATTCATGCTTTTATTCAAGACCATTATTCCAAAGTAAATATAAACATGCTGAATCAGAATTTAATGGCTGATGATATTGTCAACAGCAGTAACAACTAAAATGGATAACATATGTAACTCTAAGAGAGAATAGTGGCATAATCAAAATGATGGCATTCCACACCACTTCAGACAAAAGGTTAGGAAGGAAACCCCCATCAATACTGGAAAGAGCGATAACGGTAGACTCAAGAAAGCTATTTTCCTAATAAATTTCAATCGATGGTAGCATTGGCTGCTCGATCAATGATTGATAAACCATAGAAATCAAATCAATCAATGGTTTGCAGTTTATTTAAAGCCAGAAAATATTTTTAGATTGTAAGAATGTTTTGGAGATAATAATCATTTACTGATAATTAACCCATAGCTTAGAGGGGAAGCAGTAGAGATTCTTAACTTTCCCAAAGGTAAGTGCACGTAGCTGAATATAACAAACCTGGCTGGAATTAGAACTTGGCTCTCGGATCTCCAATTCCGAGTCATTATCTATTACACCACCCACACATCCAAGTTTATGGCACCTAGTATTCGTAAGAGGCACGGTGGAGTAATGGATAGTGGCTCAGATTGGAGAGCCGAGTTCAAATTTCAGTCAAATCCATTACGTGCTAATACCCTTGGGAAAGGAATGAATCCTTTTCTTCTCCCCTCGCCCCAGCTATGGGTAAATAGCAGAACAGACTGGGTTCTATAGCCTTGGATGGCAACTGGTCTACTGCAGAAAGAAACAGCCACCTACTGCAGGAAAAAATCTGCCTCGTCAGTCATGTATCAAAAGATACATGATCGCCTAAGCGTGTATCATGCATGGCATATAATTGACTAAGTCACCCATCTAGTTACTGACTAGGCTCAACATTTCTTAACTTTGATGATCGTACAGGAACTTGTGTTCCATCATGATATGATAAGCCTGAACAGTCAATGAATGCTGAATGTTTCCTCATAAGGAAATGGCAAACTATAAAATGGAGAAAAAAAGAACATCATCATCTGCTGTGATGATATGATCAATAAGTACATCTTCCAGACCAGTTTCCAAGTAGAGTGAACCTCAATGGGTTTGTGTCAGATTAAGCTGAGTGTAGTAAATATTTTAAAAGAATTTTGCTATAGAACAATTACTAAGAATCTTTTCCCACCCATCCCCATTTGTATGTAATTCCCTCTTAATACTCCATCAACATTTTCATTGTAAAATACAGTTAAATCCAAAATCCTCTCTTGTAATCCCCCACCCATCAATTTTACCTGACTCTGGATTGTTCTATATTTATAAATAAATGCAAGGGCCAGACTGAAACAACTGCAATCGTGAAATTTTGGTTAGATTGTGTGTGTGTAAAATAGATTTCACTTTGGTAAAAGAAACTGAACATGGTAATATATATATATATTATATATACACACACACACACACACAACAGTGGTGCACCCAAAAAGAAATCCAAATGCATCTCTTTAGTAACCACTTTCAACACGACTCTTCCTCCATTATCTCAGATACTCAAAAATCACTGGAAAATATTACAGCTCAAACAAGACCTAAAAACTTTGTTTGAGGAACCGGGCCTTCTAGCATATTTTAGACCAAAGAACATTAAGGAAATTATAGGTAGTAATCAAATTTCAGACAATAAGGTAACCTGTAATAGACCAAGAATAAAAACAATAGGATTTTCCCAATCATGTAACAAGAAAAGGAGCTGATGTTGTAATTATCATGTTACGCATACCAATTCATTCACTAGCTCAGTCACTAAATCTACCACAACTCTAACTGTAGAAGTCATAACATAATTTACATTACGCCAGAAACAATGTGGGAAAATCTGAATGACCCTTTCACTCCATAATAAATAATTGTTGGTATCAGATCAAGTCGGCCCCTCACAAAAGATTATTACCTGTAGAACAACAGAATAAACACATAGAATTAATATATAATCCCATAGGTCAACCCCCCACCCACATTTCTCAACCACACTAGACAGACATGCTTGCAGAGGTGCTGAGGTCTCCCACATACACACATATTCCCAAAAACCTAAAAGATAACATACACTTAACACACACATCCCTTTCCCAGCAACCAATAAAGCTATCAAAATGACTAAGGAAGGAATACTGAGGCTCATGAATCTCCCAGCCTCTATTTAGAAAAAACTTGTAAGTCATTTAATCAATACAAGGAGTGACTAAAATTAACGGTACAAAAAAAAAAAAAAAAAAAAATAACTACAAAGTTCACTTTCTTCAGAGACAGTCATTCACTCCTGTACTTCACTGCTACTAACAAGCACGGATTTTTTTCTCCTGATGATGGCCAGGCTGGCTGAAACAAGTCAAGAAACTAATTTAAATAATAAAACAAAAAATATTAATATACAAATCAGTGTGTTCGAAATTTTAATTTTTTTAACAATGTTGTAGGGTGTAACAATAGTTCTGATCAGTGGTTAAACAAATAAAGCAAAGTTAAAAGGCTTGAGGTCTAACTATAAGGTTAGTGAGGCTAATTAACCCAAATATATCTAGTGGGAGAAAAGATTTTAAAGAATGGGCAGAAAAGAGTGATTCATTTGTTATCAAATTTAGTATGTTAAACTATTAATACTCACCATCTCATTATTGAGGGATAGATTGATAAAAAGTAGGTACCTCCACTTGCTCACTGAAGAAACAGCATAACATAATAAAAAAAAATACCTCAAACTTAATAAAAACAGTTTTATTGTCAAAATGTTTGTTATTATTAAGGGTAAAGATCAAAGTTTTATTATTTTATTAAATTTTTTAATCCTTTTCTAGCACATTTGAAATTTTGGTTAAAATTTTTTTTTTTTTATGTCAGCAGTTGATGTAATATTTATGATTAATGTTTTTGTGCCATTTTTTCCTAAGGTGAAAAACACATAAAACATTGATTTAGAAATTCTTTCAAAAAATCAAATAATTATCAGATTTTAATGAAACTTTCAGGACTTCTACATAAATGAATAAAATTATTTTTGAAATTTTTTTTTTTTTTTACCTATATTACCCCCACCCACACTTAATTTCATGAAATTTTGAGAAAATAAATTGCAATCTTAAAATTTGTTTTATTAGTTAAAAGCAGGTCTCCTTAAATCATGATTATTATTCTTTTTTTTTTTGTAAAACAGGACCCTCAGATACAGAAAATCTGCTCCGAATCATAAAATACAAAAATGCAATAAAACTGATATTATTTAATTTGAAAAGCTTTTAATTGCTTTTATAAGATTTAAGGACACAATTGTCTTAAGAAAAAGTTTTTTCAATGAATAATGAATTTTTACAATTGTTTTCATTTTGAAATTTTAATTATTATAAATCATTTAAAATTCAGCATTAATCCAATCAAGTTAGTTGATACTGTTATTAAGTGAAAAATATATTTACTAATCAAAAATTGTAAAGCTCAATAAAAATTGTTTACCCCAATATTTTTTTAAAAATTTAAATTTTTTCTATATATAGAATATTATGTAACTTGCCTGTTTGAAAGTACTCAGAAAATAAGAGTGATGACTATAGTAAATTTAAATTCAACATTCCTAAAATTAGATTACAGAGAATATTTTCCAACATTTTTAAGATTACTTAAAAATCAAATTAAAAAAAAAAAATGCTCATCCATCATTTTCTTAAATTATGTTTTAACAGATAAAGTCTCCATAGAACAATAAATAAATCTGTCAACACCTTATCAATGCCTGTTAAGTGATTAACAAGTGACAGGGACAAGCGTGTAATCACTGCTACCGTTTGGTTTAAAAATCCATTTCTCTGCTATTTTAAACTTAAAGTAAATAACATTTTTTCAAATCAGATTAGTTATACTTTAAATCAGGTAATATTTCTCAAATAAAGTTTCAGAAAAGTATAATTTATTTCTGGAAGTTTTTTTTTTAAAACTGAGAAT